TCGATCAGTTTTTTGCCAGCAAAGACCAAAAAATTTATGAGCGTGGAATTATGCTACTACCAGAAAGATGGCAAAAGGTGTTGGACCAGAACGGTCAATATATAATTTAATAAAGTATTTGTTTATTATACGAAAACTGTCTTTCATTTTCACAAAAAAAAAACGAAATGACTTACCGAACAACCCTATAATTTACACTGGTTAGCGTTCGATTGGCAAAATATTACCACAAAATACAAAAATAAATTGAATATGGAAATATCAAGTAAAACCAATGTATTCACATGCAGAATATGCGGATATGGTGGACACATATGGACGGTGCAATGGGAATGCACCTGCGATATCACGCGAATTCGCGTAATCGTCATCATTGCCGGAGATGTTGAGGTTTTTGGTAAGGTCACTACCCTCTTGTTTAAGTATATTACTGAGTGGTGCGAGGTAGCACATTCTACTTCTTTTTAATGTACCTTCTTTTCCTTTAATGTTTCCGGATTAGACATAATGTATAGATAAGCGAGTATTTCCTGCAATTTAGAAATTTCATAAGGTCTTCATCCCCAAAACTCATGCCGAAGACTAACTAGTTGGACACGCACTTTCACATCTTCCTATCTTGAGTTAATCGTTGTACTTCTCGAAAACTAGAGCAGACTGTCCTTTTTAACTTCTGTTTCTACTTCTGATATGTCTCTAAACAGTCGTTCATGTCCGGGCACAGTATAAAAATATTCTATATAATCCTGGGTTATACAATATAAGCTGATGAGTAACATTTTTCTCTTTAAAGAGTAATGCTTATAATTTTTTGAAGATTGAGGATTATGACACAAAACAAAGTTGTGTATGGATGTTCATCTTCTATTCCTTTGTAGCTTCTGAAATAGGTACTTATCAGATTTGGACAAATGAGGTGTAGTTGCGATTTGCATGAACGCTTCACGTATCATAGGTCGTATGACGTCACATTAAATCTAATATGCCATATAAATGTGTCAAGTTTTGTATCAAATTAAAGATTTAAATATGCGCACGTTCCGAAAACATAAAATTTACATGCATTAAAATGCAAAAAAATTTGAAAAAGTGTGAGTCGTTTTTTCTTTTTGATAGTTATCGAAGATATAGGGGAGCAAAAGAGTAGTATGCTTAGATTTGCAGATGATATAGCAGTATTAGCATCTAGCAAGGAGGAGTTAGAGATAGCTTTAAATAAAATTGAATTGACAAAACAGTATTGTATTAAAATAAATAAAAGTAAATCAAAAATACTGGTATGCAAGGGAAGAAAAGGACGGAAAGAGCGAATTCAAAAATAAGTCAGGACGAAAGGAGTAGTAGGGATTTAAAGCAGAGGATAGCTCAGGGTCGTGTCGCCTTTGATAAAAAGAAGTCACTTCTATGCTCGCGAACGGTTAATTTAGAAATTCGAAAAAGATTATTAAAGGTGTATGTTTGGAACGCGGCGTTGTACGGATGCGAAACATGGACGGTGGGCGCGGCTGAAAAGAAAAGTTTAGAAGCCTTTGAAATGTGGTGTTATAGGCGAATGATGAGGATAACGTGGGTAGAAAAGGTTAGAAATGAAGAGGTATTAGAATGAATAGGAGAACAGAGGACTCTATGGAAGTCCATAAAAAATAGGCGAGATAGGTTGGTAGAACACCTTCTCAGGCATGAAGATCTAGTCAGAGACATATTAGAGGCAGAAGCAGGAGTTAGGAGGGGTAGAGGTAGACCTAGGTTAGATTACTGTTCGCAAATAGTTAAGGATATTGGTTGTTCTAGTTTTAGGGAAATGCGAAGTTTAGCTAAGGATAGGAAAGAGTGGAGCTACGTGTTCAATCAGTCTTGGGACTGACGACATTATGATGATGATCTGTTACTCCTCCTTGCTAGTACTGCTATATCATCTGCAAATCTAAGCATATGAATCTTTTGTCCCTCTAAATGTTGTAAAGTCTTTAATGATGTTGATCGCGTCTTCGATGTATATATTAGAAAGTAGCGGTGACAGTGTGCATCCTTGTCTGACTCCCTTCCTAATATTTACTTTTGTGCGTTGCTGCTCCAGCTCAATAACTTCCTTTTGCTCTTTATACAATCTAAGTATCACTCCTCTATCTCTAATTCATCCCTACATTTTTAAGTATATTTAACATCTTGTGCCATTTAACATTGTCAAAAGCTTTTTTTAAATCTACCAATTCTATGTACGCGATCTTTCCTCATTTTCTGTATCGTTATCCGTAAAGGTTCTTCTATTTCATTTGACTCAAATAGATCTTCCCCTAATAGTTCTTCGACCCTTTTTTCGCTGGATTACGAACTTAAAAATACAGGTTGTCTACAAAATACCCTAACCAAAATTTGTAATAAATATTTCTGGAATAGGATTAGAAATATCGCTCCTACCGGGTGTCTCAGCTCTTATTGTATTTAAATAACTTCTGTTACAAATAGCAAATAATGCGCCTGTTGTAATCACCCTCCCCCCTTTCTATTCGTGTCCATTTTCACTGTGGATAGACGGTCATAATAAGCGTTTGTAGTGCGAAACTTTATCAGTTTAAACCTCTTGGCGTTTATGAGATTTCCTTTGAACGCCAGTTATTAAGCGTTAAGGGCCATAACGACGCTCTCCCTCCTCGGAATTAAACTGTAATAACTATTGAGATACTATTGCGTTCGTCCTGGAGTATTATTGCCTACTGCCGGCTGTTGTCAAGTGTTTGACACGCAGCTTCGGCAGTTATGAGCGAAAAAGTGTGTTTGATTGTATGTGTGCGTTGATTAAGCACCCTCACCAGTCTTTCCATTCTGGTGCGCTATGTTTGATGCATTTGACGACGGTCTAAGGCGAAATTCACACTAAAACGCTAACATACACAATCATTTGAAAATTTTTCTCGGCATGACTAGTCAGCGCAAGGTGGGTGTTGAGAATGTTCACTCCACCTCAAAAACAATAGCGTGTGGAGTGTTCTCGCGTGTTTTTGGACCTCTGTAATTAAGATAAAGATGGAGTATTGACTCGAATTGTTACTGGGGATGAAACTTGGGTTCATCATTATGAACCTGAGTCCAAACAAGACTCTACTCAGTGGCGCAAAAAAGGCACACCACCAGCTAGTTTAAGGTGTCACAGTCGGCTGGGAACATCATGGCGACAGTCTTTTGGGAAACACTACAAATGGCGCAGTAAACGCCATCTGTAGCACGATGCTACATTTTAGGATTACGTATGCTCCAACAAGGTCCATTTAAATATATGGATATCTACTTGCTGAAACGAATCCCGGCGTAGCTAACCTCAACGTGATAGGCACGTTACCATAATCGAATAAAATAATTCGAAGTGGTCTGTATTCTGTCGAAACTGCCAGACGCGGATCGCGATTTCGATCTTTTTGGATCTCATCAGCGCGTCGCAGGCAGCTCCGACAGAACACAGACCAACTTTTACCTGCTGTCTTAACAGTGCGTTTTAGAAAATACTACAAATGGCGCAGTAAACGCCATCTGTAGCACGATGCTACATTTTAGGATTACGTATGCTCCACCAAGCTCGTGCTACAGATGGCATTTACTGCGCCATTTGTAGTATTTTCTAAAACGCACTGTTAAGACAGCAGGTAAATGTTGGTATGTGTTCTGTCGAAGCTGCCTGCGACGCGCTGATGAGATGCAAGTAGATCGAAATCGCGATCCGCGTCTGGCAGTTTCGACAGAATACAGACCACTTCGAATTATTTTAGTCTTTTGGGAGTCAGAAAGGATCCTGTTGATCGATTATAAAGATAAAGGTGTCTCCATAACCGGAGAATATTATGCTTCAATCCTAGAGCTGTTGAAAGAAACAGTCAAAGAAAAAAGAAATTTAACCAAAGGTATCCTCCTTCTGTACGACAACGCGCTTGTTCACAAGAGCCGTGTTGCGATGACTGCTCTACACAAGGAGGGGTTCGAAATTTTGGCTCACCCACCCTACAGTCTTAACCTAGCTCCTAGCGATTATTACCTATTCCCATACCTGAAAAAATTTATCGTGGGAAAAAATATTTGTCTACAATGCTGTTTCGGCGTATTTATCAGACAAAGACAAAACCTTTTTTTTCGAATGTATACGTAAATTTATTGAAATATCGGAAAAATGTATAAGGGTAGCAGGTAAATATATTGAAAAAGAAAAATAAATTCGTCATTTATTTTATGTTTGTTTTTATGTTTGCAATAATTGTATAACATATCTACTATCCATCTACTAGTTAGTTTAACTCCTAATTTCAGCTTTATTTTGGCATGCAACTTTTCTTTTTCTTAGAAATTAAACAATTTTGGTGTACGTAAAAATAGCATTTTGATTCTTTTATGTTTGTTACAGTTTGCGACGTGGTCCAGGGGCTAATGTCCAAGACAGCAGCGGTTATACATCCCTGCATCATGCAGCTTTAAACGGACACAAGTAAGTAACCTTTTTATAACTTGACTGATCGTGAATTATTTTGATTACAAATTCTCTGCCGTCGATGTTTATAAGAAAGGTTTCTGGCTTTTTCAAAGTACGACAAAAGCATACATAATTAAACTGAATGTGACAAGAAGGAATAGAAATTGGCTTAATTTTAGCCCAGGTTAAGAAACTTGTAATTGTTCGAAAATAAAATTTGAATTTGATACCAACTACCAGCGTCTGGTCGTCCTTACTTTAATGGTTATTTACTGGGTATTGATAATTTACGATTTCGTCGTATCCATTAAGAAAATTTATTGATTCTTGGGTGACTTCCGGATATCCGGTCTGCTTCTTTTTGGTTCCAATCCGAGCGTGTGCGTATTAGAAAATGTTTGGGTGGAATATTGTTATTAAGGGATGAATAGGAATTTATTCCTGCGGGGCTTCAATGAAAAGGATATATTAATTTTTAAGAAACCCGTGGAGGTGCTTTAGATCACAGGAGATTCCTTTATTTAGACATTACTAGGTAAATGTTAAGCGATACTTGTTTAAACTTCGTAATCAGTGCCAAAGAACAAACAAGATTCAAAGAACTTTTGTGTATTTAAAAGATTACAATTGCTTTACATTACAATGACTTCATTAGGTGGAAGATATATGAGTAAATTTTATTAAAACGTTTTAATGCCTACTAGGAGTATTTTTATTTTTACTTTGATTTCATCGTCAATCCTAAGACAGGTTGGACACGTATCTCCCCTGATTTTTAAGCAAGAATTTTTTATTTGTTATGTATATTCATTTACGAGCTTTCTACTAAGAATAAGTTTAATTTGCAACTTTATTTAAGACTTTAATTTATGTTTTGCCTTTATAACGTGTTCCATATGAGTACAGTTGGTATTTTTATTAAAACCCCTCGTATGTTGTGTAACCCTTTGATTAAAAAGTATTCCTGTTTGTCCAATATAAACCTCGTTACAACCTCCATATTCGAACCATATACTGCAGATTTAACTCGTTTATGTCGTTTTTTTTTTTTTTTTGATGAATTGGAGTTAAAAATTTGAACATATACTAACTTATCCTTAATTCGTTAACAAAGATGCCACACAGATTAAAAAATATTCTTACAACAAAAAATCAGAAATATGCAGCAGACATATTCGTGATTTTAATAATGCGTGTATCAGGAAATGGTATAATTTGAAAAATATCAAATCAGTCCTATTATTCATTATTATTTTCTTTCACACGTTTGTTTAAAATTAATAATAAATCTGTATTAAAAATTTTTGTAAAGGTCTAGATAGGGGGGGTCGAAAGAGGTGGTCTCCCCCACCACTGTACCATAAAAAGTTCGTGGCGGTCTCACCCCCATAAAAAGTTATGAGGGTTAGATGAGGGTGGGGTAGGGGGATCGAAAGAGGGTAGGGGGGATCGAAAGAGGGTGGTCACCTGAGTAAAACCCCATAAAAAATTTGCGGCGGTCTCACCCCCATAAAAAGTTATGGGGGTTGAAAGTTGATTATTTTGACAATTTTCATACACTATAATTCAAATAAAATTCAATAAAAAAAATATTTTCAAGCGGGTGGAGGTGGGGGATCGAAAGAGGGTGGTCACTTGAACAAAACCCTATAACCTAACTTAACCTAACCTACCCCATTGATTTAAATATCTTTATCAATAGGGTAGGTTAGGTTAGGTTATCGGGTTTTGTTCAAGTGACCACCCTCTTTCGATCCCCCACCTCCACCCGCTTGAAAATAATGTTTTATTTGAATTATAGTGTATGAAAATTGTCAAAATAATCAACTTTCAACCCCCATAACTTTTTATGGGGGTGAGACCGCCTCAATTTTTTTATCGGGTTTTACTCAGGTGACCACCCTCTTTCGATCACCCCCACCCCCGTTTAACCCCCATAACTTTTTATGGGGATGAGACCTGCACGAACTTTTTATGGTACAGTGGTGGGGGAGATCTCCTCCTTCGATCCCATCATCTAGATATTTATCAAATATTCTTACAACAAAAAATCAGAAATATGTCTGCAGCAGACATATTCGTGATTTTAATAATGCGCGTATCAGGAAATGGTATAATTTGAAAAATATCAAATCAGTCCTATTATTCATTATTATTTTCTTTCACACGTTGGAGTTAAAAATTTGAACATATACTAACTTATCCTTAATTCGTTAACAAAGATGCCACACAGATTAAAAAATATTCTTACAACAAAAAATCAGAAATATGTCTGCAGCAGACATATTCGTGATTTTAATAATGCGTGTATCAGGAAATGGTATAATTTGAAAAATATCAAATCAGTCCTATTATTCATTATTATTTTCTTTCACACGTTTGTTTAAAATTAATAATAAATCTGTATTTACAAAATTTTACTGAAATCTGTGTTGTGCTTTACCTACCTATTTGATTTTCAACGGAGAAAACTATTTTTATGAAAGCCAACTTAATGGACCTGCAATCATTGAACCATGTAGCCTGGTACTTATCTATCTCGCCATATGAAATTGAAAAAAACTGAAAATTGTTAAGGATTTGTTACCTTAGTTTCTATTACTTTTTTATGCATGCACATGTAGCTATTTTAAAATGTACATTACGTTTATTTTGCATTTGCTCGATACTTTGAGAATTCAAGGGCACTTGTTAGTGATTACACTTATCAGTAGTCGGTTTTGTTTTTATCGTTGCACTGCATAATTTTCTTATCATGTTTATAAACACTGTCCATTATAAATGCGTTTATGGTTCTGTAGCTTAAATAGGTAATAAATTCCTTAAAATTTTATTGATCTAAGTTATAAGGATTTTACATCGAATTTTATGAAGATTACCGAGACTCCCTTATTTGTATATTTGTAGTAATTTTGCTATAATGTTTTAGGGTTACTTTAATTTTCAAATGCTTTTACTATGACATTTCCATAAATTATTTATACCAAGGGCGTACCAAGACTTTTATTGAAGGGAAGGGAACCTAAACAGTTACAATCGATTGCCATAATAAAAGACACACCATTCAAAAGTAATACCTTTTCCACTATTCTGTTTAAGAAGTTTAAAAAAAATGACAAAGAGCTAGAATTCAAAAAAGCTTATCATTGTTGTTCCAATTTGAGGAATTATTAACATTATGATTTATATCGTGATTCCTGATTAGTGGGTAAATCAGAAAAAAACAAATTTCTGATTGATTGATTGGCACATATTTCTGTCAACTGCGCATGCTGTGCTTAGGGAAACAAGCAGGGCTCTTGGACAGGTGTCGGGTCCTGCGGGCAGACCACAGACATTCACCCCTAAAGCTAAAGTTACCCGCAACCGACCCCACTAAATGTGGGAGAAAAACTAAACCTTAATAAAAGACGTGTGGTAGAGGTTCGTGAAAGCGGGTTCATCGTTAAACTCATTAAAGGGGACCGGGATAGGTCGACCGACATGAGTGTCAAGGGTCAGGAGAAGACGGCGATCCCATTAAAACCTCAAAAGGCTTACTAGTGCCGGAGTGAAAGTAATCCGGCTGAGAGAGAGATTCGTCCCTTGAATATTCGACCAGTAATGGAAACTGGTACCTACATCGGGAGACCCGGGATGTTTCAGGTGGGAATTCCTCCTACTTGACCTGTCGTCTGAGGTTGAACTCGTAGTTGCAGTGGTTACACCCCACATGCTAGGTACTTAAATAGCGTTGATCAACGCGAGTATTAACCCTGTTAAGCCTTGTAGGTATTAGATAAGTTCCGTCTACACCAGTGATTCCCAACCGGTGGTTCGCGAACCCCTGGGGGTTCGCAGTGTTTGCAGAGGGGGTTCGCGAAAATAATATTGTAATGGCGGATTTTTTAAAACTCCAATAAAATGCCTGTTTGTTAAGAAATCTATAACAAATTTCAATGTTTTCATTTCTTTTTACTTATTTGTTTTTCAAAATTACTTCATCAATATCAAAATATATCAACAATTTTATACATTAAAATTTATTCCTCTTTTTCAAGTAATCAAATACTATTCTCTTTTTATTACAAACATTTATTTATATTTAAAACATTATTCAATGTGATTAGTTTCATGTTCTGCTTTATATTTAAAATCATTGCAGCAGTTTTCCCTTCTGTGTAATATTTTTTTTTACAATACAATTGGAAATAAATATCCAGTTTACTACATTTACATCATTTTAGTCTTATTAATGTTTTATTTAAATGTTTCAGGATTAATATAATCAATTATTATGCAATGTGGAAAATATATATTCTATCAAATTTTGTTGCTTTTTTTACCTGTCATTAACGACTACATAAGGGGTTCGTCACATTTTTTCGGACCTTTCTTTTGGTTCGCGAGGAAAAAAAGGTTGGGAAACACTGGTCTACACCAATGGTCTGAAGGTCATACTCATCCCTAGGCCTGAGTATATGTCAACCCTGCTTCCATGGGGGTCGTAGTGGGTAAATCGCGAGAGGGAATCGCGAAGTTAATAAAAACAAACCGGGGGTAACCCCAGGTACGGCGATGTGCAGGCTTTTCTTCTTCAAAATGAAAAGAGATAGATGACATTTATTTGCTGTTACTTTCTTTTACGAAACACATTTCCGATGGGCATGTGTGTATATTGTTTCTTTTGTTTCAGAGAGATAGTCAGATTGTTACTGGACCATGATGCCTCCACAAATATTGTGGACAGTAAGGGATCAACTCCACTCCATTTAGCTGCTTGGTCAGGAAACATTGAAATCGTCCAACTTCTTTTGTGTGGACCTTCAATTTGTAACGTAAACTTGTTGGTAAGTTTTTACTTTGTATGTTCAAAAGTATTGAATATTCTTTTAGTAGGTACATTATTGTAAAATTACTTAAAAGGTCATTTTTATGCAATAAAGAAAGTTTAACAAAAATAAGGTTAAAATTATGTTATAAGTAGCTTATTTCAGTTATTTTACTTATACTAAAGAAAAGAGCGTTCTCAAATTAATTAGCAATTTTCATTTGCAATTGCAACTGAAAAACCAAGAAATTTCTTGCAAGGTGTCAAACTGTACAAACACTTTTGTAACATACTGTAATTGTAAGTGTATATTTTTATTTTTGGTGAATTGTTTATTGAATATTTGGAAAGTTAACTGTCGTCGAGCAGTCATGGCCGAGCGGTTAAGGCGTCTGACTAGAAATCAGATTCCCTCTGGGAGCGTAGGTTCGAATCCTACTGACTGCGGTAACTTTTTGTAATTAAATATAATATAAATATAAAATTAAACGTTAATGGTGGGATAAAGCCTCAGTAGATTGATATTGAAGTTTTAGTTGACGTCTTTATATTTTTAACATTCAGCCGTTAATTAATTATGTCGTCAATATTTTCTAGCAATATCGTCGTTTTATTAATTCTGTACGGCGCAGTAAATATTTTCTTAATCTTATTTCAATCTAAACATTAACATCGACCGCCTGTTAAGAAGCTTGTACACAGTAGAATAACAAATTAAAAAAAAAAATAAAACTGAAATTAAATTAACAAACAAGTAGACTCGAAGTTTTCCTCTTTATAATTCTGTAGACAATATGCAGTTGTGATAAAATTGGAATTGGTTTTTAGATATTAATCAGCCACTACATTATAAACGTTTTTAATTTTAGTTTCTTATTGGAATGTAGTTTACAAATACATTAGATTGTTTGGAAACAACAAAAAATTAGAAATAGATTTATACATAATCTAACGAATTAAAAATTGAAATATTAAATTGATATTTAAATCACTTAAAAACTTTAAGTAGTTTTCTAATAAGAGTTATTTTTATTATCTTTTGTTTATAATGCAACCTTCATTAACAATTGTTGAGAGTTCATTTGATTTATTTCCCAAAAACATTTCAAACAATCGGAATCAACTTCTTACACTATTGATCATAAACAATTCGAGTTCGATGATTGATGTGGAATACTCACCAAACAATTGACCTGTGACATGTACAAGAGCCGCCGCCGCCGTCGCCCAAATTAAGTTAGAGACAGAGTATTTGACCAAATTAATCATCGACATCGAAATCAGCGTAATAGCCTCCCCGTTGTCGATGTTGTCATCAAAAGCCTTAGTCGCTTGTCCCCACGTTCGCAGGTTGCCCTTGCCACTTGAACACGGCCCTTTTGACCAGTTGCTTGGGACATTCGCGTCGACTGCAACGTGTGTCGTTCACGGTCCTTTGCTGCTACACCGCTGAATGCCATCGCCACCGATATCTTAATTAGGGATACGATATCATCGCCCTTATTACCCTCCAAATTTCACCCCAACCAACTAGAAGAGAACGAAACGCAATTGCCAATAACAATCGTAACACACATGGCTCTTGTTTACTCCAACGTAAATTGTGTAATTGGGTTTTGAAATAAAGGACTCGGGACACATAAGTGTTTAATTTTACGAATGAGTGTGACAGTAAGGATTAACAGTTGATCAAACTCTAACATAGCGCCTTAGGTTCATCCAAAACTAAATCTTCTTGTTTTTTCTTCTTCTTAGTAAATTAGTAATGTGGGTCGTATATCATTATTGCAATGATTGTGTTATGCCACATTCAAAAATCGTTGGGTTTTTTGGCAGACCTACAATGCTACAAAGTGAAAATTTCGTTGAGATTCTCTGAACCACAAGGGATTTAGTGTTTTAAAAACATCACCAACGTAAATTTTATGGTGATTACGACACTCTTCGATAAGCTCAGAAGGCTATAAAGAGTTTTATTATATTTTTTTATCACAACTCGCTGTGTAATTCCAAATCGTTCATAACGTAATAATTTGACAATTGCAATGCCTTTTAGACTGGAGCGTTAGTATCTTCAGATGTCATTTCCGTCCGTACTTAAAAATAACATACTTATATAATGCAAAGTGCTGTCTCTTCCAAATTACTAAACCTAGAACTTTCAATTCTGTTTGCAAACAAAATTTCTTTCCGTCGAAGTTTCAGTTGAGATTCATCTGCAGATGACACGTCAAGTCGTGCAACATCAACAGCAGGCGCTGCAAAGTGAAACATGTTTCGTATCAAGTCCAACGTTTACGTATATATCTAGTAACAGGAATAATAAGAAGAAAACAAAGAAAATGTTTTCGTTATATTGAAGTCACAGAAAACAATAGAAAATTTGTTTAAAATTACATAAATATTAGTGAAACCTCCCTTAGTGGGCACCGTCCTTTAACGTACAGTTTTGTATAGCAGAATAATAAGATTTCTACTCAATCAACTGCCTTTTAAACGGATGTGGATGATTAAAAAATAAAATGACTAATAAAATAAGAAATCTTAACTCGACGAACAACTTATCTGTACATCCTTGTACATAAATATGTGTGACAGAAATTTAAATACATCCTTTCTCCTAATCAGATTGTACATACATTTGGGGGTGGCTAGGTACTTGTATGCTAAAATAGCATCTTTCTCGAATAAGCCTATGAGTAAAAATTACTTCATATGACAATTTTGGCACATTTATCTAATATTATTTTAACGAATTTTTTAGTATTTGTTTATTTATTTAAACGGATCTTTTATAACAGTCAGCAATTTACATAGTCATTTTTTTGAAAGTTCTTCATTTTTCAGTATAACTTTCGAAAATCTTTTGTTATGCGATCATGTAGATAAATACCTGTCGTTCAACTTTTGATTTATGACCCTGATCGGTACGCCAACAAAGCGCCGACGTTATTGATTAGTACATCACTGCTAACGTTGAAGATGTCATCTCAAACTTGGTATATCGGTACAGAAAGGATAACATTAAAATTTATATTGCTTTCGTCTAATATTTTCCAGTATGTCTAAATGGTGACACCTTAGACATTACATAAGCAGTTCTACTTTAAAAAAATGTATCTTTTGTTTCAGACAAAAGATAAAGACACCGCTTTGCATTGTGCTGCTCAATATGGTCATACGGGGGTAGTAAATTTATTGTTGGAACGTGGCTGTGATCCAGGTATAAGGAATTGTCGTGGTGAAACTGCCCTTGACTTGGCTGCTCAATATGGAAGGTATGAAATTTATTTCCAATCGAATCTGATACGTTTTGTTCCGGATTCATTTGTTGCTAACTTGAATTATAATTGTGTCCTGTGTTATTGTTTCAGGTTGGATACCGTGGAATTGTTAGTTCGGACTCACCCTAGTTTGATTCAGCCAATGCAGAGGGCGATATCGGGTGTCATGTTTGCACATACGCCTCTACATTTAGCAAGCCGCAATGGGCATAAGTAAGTCTTTTTTAGCTTTTTTTGTATTTTTTCGTTGTTAATAATTAAGTTTCATGATAAATGAGAACAAAAAGTATTAGAGTGCACCCGGCTATCATCCAATATATGTTTATCGTTAGATCTACCTGAGCATAGACGTCACGTTCCTTTATTAACTTTAAACAGTCACTTTGAAATTTTCAAATCAATCTATTGTCTCAGAATAAAAGGAATGTTATTATCTTGTTGAATAGTAATAGTTAAAATAGGAGGTTTTGCAAAAATTCGGTGAAAAAAAATTTCAGTATTATCATCATCATCATCATCACACCATAATTAGTCCAAGGACTGCGCACCTTTACTCTTTCCCTGGTTCTTTTTACTTATGTCTCTAACTGGCTCATCATGTCTGAGAAGGTGCTTCACCATATCCGATATCATCTTCTTTTCCTTATGGACTTCCATAACGCCCTCTGTTCTCTTGCTGTTTCCAATACTTCAACACTGTAACCTCTTTTAGCCACGGTATTTCGCTTCTAATTTTTGAAGTGAAACTTCTTTACGCACGGTAGGGTAAGTCCGTTTAATGCGAGTTACTATGTAACGAAATCATGCAACGGATGTCCCCCCTCTACTCGGCCGCGTAGTCGAGTTCGTAGTGGGGATCGCTTAAGCCGTGAGCGCGCTTCAATACAACGTTCGTTACAGGTAACTCCGGCATGTATAGTGTACCCCTAACAAAATGTATGAATGTATTTGTATGTGTGCCTACACTCTACAGTCGAAACGATAACAAGTAAAACAGCATGTTTGTATGTATAAATCTAACGTATAAAATTTCGTAATGAATATAATTAATTATCTTAATTACTTACCGACCTACCCAAAGACGGCGGCTTCCTAATTAGAATTTTGATTTATTATATGTTACTACATAATTTACCATACATCTTTTTCTGCGTATTGCCTTCGTTATGTACTAATTTACGATAATGCAAAGTTAGAGAGCTTTTAGATGAATGAGCTTTCTCAAGAATTAATTAAATGTTCAAAGGTGTTTTGATCAATTTTCATGTATAAACAATGGCGTTCTTCGTAATAAATAAGTAACTTTTGTGAATGATTCTGTGTTTTCTAATTTAAATAGTTAATTAATTTGGGACATGATTTTTTTTTATTGAATGTTTGGAGTCTCCGCAAACGATATTGTCAATAATTTTTTTCCTACGGTCCAAAAATCATTTGAAAGCTTCAGCACCGTTTTGGAAACTGCTAGGATTCAAACACTTCTACGGCCTTGGATAGACTGCGTGACGTCACTATGCTGCAGTAGACTCAAGCACGCGTTACTGTTAATGTTCACTGGTTAATTATTTATAATTAGACAATCAATTAATGGAAGAAAATAAAATAATTCGAAATGGTCTGTATTAAAATAATTCCAAGTGGTCTGCGACGCGCTGATGAGATCCAAAAAGATCGAAATCGCGATCCGCGTCTGGCAGTTTCGACAGAATACAGACCACTTCGAATTATTTTATTCTATTATGGTAACGTGCCTATCACGTTGAGGTTGGCTACGCCAGGATTCGTTTTCAGCAAGTAGATATCCACACTAGTGGACCTTGTTGGAGCATACGTAATCCTAAAATGTAGCATCGTACTACAGATGGTGTTTACTGCGCCATTTGTAGTATTTTCTATAATGCACAATTAATGGAAGTTTTATTAATGTTTGTAATGCTGTCGTTATTATTATCTTCAAAGCCAGAAACATGTCTTCTGCCCCATAAAGATACTGTTTGAGCCCAGTTAGTGGTAGAGCTGAAAACTGTAGGTAATACGTCTTATTATACTGGAATATTAAATGCTAGTTAGGAATTTTCGCTTATTTTTCTTCATCTTCTTTATCATCATAAGGTCGTCAGTCATAAGACTTGTCGGACACGCACCTCCACTCGTTCCTATCCTGAGCTAATATTTTCATTTCCATTAAACTAGAACATCCCACATCTTTAACTATTTGCGAACAGTAATCTAATCTAGGTCTACCTCTAATCCTGTTAACTCCTGTTTCTGCTTCTAATATGTCTCTGACTAGACCTTTCTGCTTGAGAAGATGTCCTATCAATCTTTCTCGCCTATTTTTTATTAACTTCCATAGAGTACTCTGTTCTCTTATTCTTTCTAGTACCTCTGCATTTCTAACCATCTCTGTCCACGGTTTCCTCATCATTCGCCGATAATACCATATTTCGATAGTTTCTAACCTTTTCTTGTCCGCCGCGCCCATCGTCCATGTTTCGCACCCGTACAGCGCCGCGCTCCAAACATACACCTTTAATAATCTTTTACAAATTTCTAAATTAATCGTTTGCGAGCGTAGAAGTGACTTCTTTTTATTGAAGGTGACTTGACCCTGCGCTATCCTCTGCTTTATAATCCTACCTCTCTCCGTTCTGACTTATCTGACTTCGTAGATAACTAAAATCAGTCATTTGTTCTAATCTTTCGTCTCTTATCTTTACATTCGCTCTTTCTCTACTTTTTCTTCCCTTGCATACCAGTATTTTTGTGTGACTTTTATTTATTTTCATACAATACTGTTTTGTCAATACCACTGCCAGCTTACTTAAAGCTATCTCTAACTCATCCTTGCTATATGCTAATACTGCTGTACCAATACTGGAATAATAAGTTTGAATCTTCTGGAACTGCAAGTTGTACTTCTAAAGTTGTATTTTCATTCCAAAGTCTATTTCAACGAAACTTTTCAGCTATAATGTACAATATTAAATGAAACTTCCAGATTGTCGGTGCACCAGTTAGGATTTAAAATGAGACAATTTCTTCCTCCTTGATAATGTAACGGATCTTCTAATAGATCTGTTTAATTAAATATATCTCGTATGCATAAGTAATTGATTGAACACACTATTCATTTACTGTCAGATAATTGCGTAACTATTAAAAACCTTATGTTCGAAGGGCCCTAGGAAATATAAAACTTATGGGAGGGTGAAATTTTATTCTGAACTTACACATAAATTTAATAATAATTATAAAGCTTATTACATCAAAAGTGCCGTCAATATCGATCGCCTGCGGCACTCATTCGTAACAGTGACTTTTAATGTTTGCCTTATTTTGGTGTGCTTCACTAAAGCGTTTAATATCACCAAAAACCTCTTTATTCCGAGGTCAGTGCTTTTAATTAACCAGAAAGACAATAAAATTTAATGACACTGCAATTACAATTGACCTCGATGGTGCGAATTTGCTGCCACATTAACATTTTTGCATTAGACTTCTAATTAAAGCCCTTTCCGGATGTACGCGTAAACATAAAACATTTTACTTCCGCAAAGCGGATGTTGTCACCGTTTATTTGCTATCTCGTTATCGTTCGTTGTTCAAATTCGATTTGATAGAGTTTTCGCCTATTATTAGAGCAAAGCGACCGCGATTGTGATCATTGTTATTGTAAACAAGTGCTTCGAAAAGTCGCGCGTAATTCCCCGAAACCCCATTAGCTACTGTAATTCGATTTCATCCGTTGTTGGTCGGGTTAGTTGGTTGGTAGTACTGCGATGCGGTTGCTCTCGTTCCAAATGGCTCTGTCACGGAGAAACGGAATTGTTGTAGGTATTATTGTTGTTGTTATGTACCGGACGACTCCGCTTCGCTCTTTCTCTCTCGGCTTACAAATTGCCACGCATCTAAAGTTCATCCTGGTGTTTGCATAACCGCCAATTAACAGTGCAATAACCATTAATTAATTCCATCCGCATTGATATGGCCGACGAGAAGAGCAAGCTGATGCGCATTGTTTTCGCTTAAGCTTATCTAGTCGACTGCACTGTTTTATACGCAACGTTAGATTTTGTCATGAGCAGCGCGATTCGTTCTAATTTCTCAATTCAAACACAAGTCATTTCAGTAATACTCTCCTAGAGTAAAGGAGAACGAATTGTGTGATACATTATTAGTTCGCCTGTCCCATTAAGTAGAAATTACAGGTAGCGTTGGCATCAGTATATACCTGTTGCCTCCCATCAGTAGGGGTAACCAATAGCCTGTCGTAATCATGCCCATCTCGGAAGTAGTTCTGACAATCAATTTAGGTAATTATATGCATATGCTATCGGATATATATGAAATCCTTCATTGTATACAATTCCTAGGAAATGTAGTATATAGTTCCTAAAATCGCTCGCAAATGTGTGAAATAAATTATGTTAGACACATTTCCTAGGAAATCTATACATTTTCTAAAAAGCAATCGGAAATGTATTACGGGTAATACTAAATAGGTAATAATACGGCAGACTGTTTGGAGATGTACCTATATCCATTAGTGACGTCATTATTTGGTTGGGAAGATTTATCACAGACTGTTATCATTGTTTCAGCAAACACGGTAACCTTAAATTTTTAGTATGTTGTAGAGGTGATAATACTGATTATATTCATGTTGTATATGTTGGGCGTGAAGATCTTAATGAAGCATGCTTTTCGAAGACATTATCCCAACATATCAGCCCGCCTCCGGCGTGCAGGAGCATTAAAGAAACTCCAGTCTGCCGTAAATCTACCTAATAACCATACAATAACGTCACTAATGCATATAGGAACATCTCCAAACCTAACCTAACCAAACAATAACGTCATCAGTGCATATGCATTAGGCGATCGCACTAGAACCGCGTAAACACATATAACTGACCCGCAGTTTAGATACTAACGAGTTTTATTCACAGAAAGCATTAGTTTTATACATTTCCTAGTACAATATCGAAATTTCATACAATTCCTAAGATATGTAAGCATTTCCCAGGGTATTTGTGTATTAAAAAACTTTCGAAACAATCTTAATATTCATAAATTACGTGTCACGTTGTTTGTCCGCGATGGACTCCTAAACTACTTCACCGATTTTAATCAAATTTGTACACCATGTTCAGTTTGATCCAACTTGAAAGATAGGATAGCTTACATCTCAATTTATGATCGCAATATTC